CCCCAAAACCCCAAAACCCCAAAACCCCATGAGGATGGAATAAATTATTGAACTGAACAATAGATGAAATTAGATAATTTATAAACAGCACATAAATCAGAATAAATTAGATCACAACTTACTACTAGATTATTATAAATGAAAGTGGAAGAAAAATAAGACTACAGTAAAAAGAATGATGAAACATCAAACCTTTTAACTGAAATATAAGAATCGGATGAAGTAAATCAAAGATATAGTCATTTAGATGATCCAGGAAGGTCAAAACTGTATCTATGGTTAATGTTCTTTTATGGAGTAGGAAATTTACTTCCTAATATGGCGATTCTTACAGATATGGACTACTTCATTCACAAATACAGCGTAAGTCTAAATTCTTTTATTATTGTTCCTAATTTCACAACAGAGTATTGGGAAGCATCCTGAATTCGTTTACAATATGGTTATCAATTTCTCCTTCGTTATTGGACAAACAGTTGGGATAAGACTCATTTTAAGATTCAACTATCTGACTAGGTTGCTGATTGTTCTTATTCCAATGATCTTCATTCTAATTGCATTTCCATTTTTAATATAATACACAGAAATCGATGCAAGTTGGGACCTTTCTATTTTTATCATGGTATTAATTGGTAAGTTTGCATTCCTCATTATATCTTGAAATCAGGAATTGCGAGTGGAGGAATGAACTCTATTTTAATGGGAATGGCAGGACTGCTTGAGCCCAAATTTATTGGAGCATGTTTACAAGGAGTTTCTTTTAGTTCTATTGTTGTTTGCTTTATTAGATGGATATGCTTGCTATCTTTTGATTCTAAAGATGAAAATGGCTATTTTTACTCAACTATAGTGTATTTTGCTATAAACGTCATTATATAAATAGCCTTATGTTTTACACTACCTGTACAATATTTACAACTAACTAATATTAAAGGTATTTTTGAATTCAAGATACTTCTAGCACTACTTACAGAAGAGAAAAGGCATACCAGTGACTTAGATATAAACTAGACCAATAACAATTGCTAATGATCAAAGTTAATAATCAATTGGCGCTGAAGAGAATTAGGCTAAAAAATCAAGTCTGCATGATTCCATCATTATTTTCAAGAAAATTTGGGTGGAAGCAGTGTTTATTTTTTTGAATTTCGCAATTACATTTCTAATATATCCAAGTATTACCTACTAAGGAGGACTCAATATCTATAATTCTCCTGAGTGGAGTATTTTTATTTATAACCTATCATACAGTGTGGGTGATTTTAGTGGGAGAACATTGGGAAGAATCAAACATAGCTACCCTAGACCTTTCTTTGTAATTGGAACTTTCTGTAGATTGATTCTCATTGCTTCTACGTTTATTATGGCTTATTATCATGACAATGTGTTCTGGGGTAATGCTGGTGTAATCATTTTGAACTCATTTATTCTTGGAATTTCTGGCGGATTTTTCGGAGTGTGTTGCGGGAATAGTTTTCCTGGCAAATTAGAAGATAATGAAAAAGAATTTGGTGGCTTTATCATTAGCTGCATGATTAATATCGGAATCGCCATCGGAAGTCTCATAAGTCTTGTTGGTTTTCAAGATTTATTTTGAGCAAATTATCATTCCCTCATAGGTTTTATCTTTTCATTTGTTATCTACATTAATTTCATAAATTCAACTGAGAAAGTTAATCTTAGATTCATGGGGTTTTGGGGTTTTGGGGTTTTGGGG